TCGAGGGGAGGGAGGCTCCAGCACTGCTTTGGAAGAAGGATCCGAAGTTTACGATGGTTCGGGGCAGTTTTCCTAATCAAAGCCCCATGTCCCCCCAGCTTTGTTGATGCTTCCGCACGGTTGGTCAAGTGCAAGAAGCACTATCGCAACCAAAAGGACTCATTTGGCTGTGAGAACTCTTTTGATTCTAAAAGAATGAAGAGGGGAGCTTTGAGAACTCTAAACACCAACAGGTGTGACATAAGCCGAAGCCATGCACAAGAATTCAAGAACCAACGCAACAAGTCAGCGCCGCTTTTCATGGCTGACAAACTTTAGAAACCACTTAACATGGCTCAAGTAGTTGCCCATTTAAGGGGCATAACTAGACCTGCGACGCCACTTGCAAGTCGCGATTCCAGTGGACATCATGTTCAGAGCAGATGAATCAATATTTGATCCTTTTGGACGGGGATCTAAGCAATTGGCTGCGAGTCAAAACTTTTCTGACTTAGCTCCAACAGCAGGGAATTGCTCGACATCCCTGGTAGAGGGTTTCTGTTTCTTTGGATGCGTCAACGGCTTTGACTCAGCGTGGCTTTCACGAGGCGGCAGCATCGCCCTCGAGCAGCTTTCCTCCAGCAGTACATGAGGCCCGGGATGGTTCATAGGTCCCTGGGAACTTGAGAGCTTGTGCACCAAGTGAGTCATTGAGTCTTTGAGATCAGAATTTGCATTCCTTTTCTCGGTTGATCCATATGTCTTTCCCTACGAGGAAGATACTGCCGGCAGCATGCATCAGATTGCAGTCTTCCCACCACGGTAGAGTTGCTGTCTAGATCTAGATTTTGGCTGCTGAAAAACAGGGGTGGAGAAGCGGTCGAGATGTCGAGAAGGGTGTCGGCGGCATTCACCTTGCTCGAAATAGACTGGGCGTGCAAATGGTTGACAAAAGCAGGTCTAGCCGCTAGGCCCCAAAAGCCCTTGGTTGAATTCTGCCCTCAAAACTATTTGAGATAAGTGGGAAGTTCAATGTAATCTTGTTCAATGAGGAACTGACATCAGAGGACCCAATGGAGATCTGAAGAGTTCTCCACCGGACTTCCCGCCTGCCACGGCCCGCGTGGCAACTCGGCTCGGTCGCGTCGCCCAGGCCGATGGATTGCTCCGGGACCTCGCTGAGGACGGCTGGTTGTGGGGGCTCATGAAATGCTCAACTATGTTCCAAACTCACGCCACAATTATACAATGATGGATGATCAAATTGGTTTGAGTCGTGGATTCTCGTTTTGAGACAACCCCCCCTCAGATCAATCTTTGGGATGACTTACCAGTTTGCTGATAGGCAGGGTTTACTTTTGATCATTAGTGCAGGGCTTGATATTAGCACTTTTGTTTTGAGCTTGTCCTCTTCGTTTTGTTGCTCATGTTGGTTTTGAGAGCGTGTGGGGGTGAAGCCAAGATTGACTCGAGTATCCTTGGGAGTCTGCCCAAGATCACGACAGGAAGAAGACAAGAAATCAACTAATGCAGCTCGCTTGGCATTGTCTGGTGCGAATCTAAGTGCCTCCACGACCAGACAGCCACATAATTTTCGATTCGTCATTCTCATAGCTGCATAGCTATATAAATAATATAAGTGTTTCTTGAAGGCAACGGCCGCAATCGGAGAGTTTGGGACACACCCACACATACTCAAGATAAAGTATACATACAACTGGAATCACCCTGACGAAACCCGGGTAAAAGAAAACCTGAGAGTCCAGGTAAATGCAGTGTCTAAACGTCCTAAAGCTCAAGGAAGTTGTCACATCTCAAAGGTCCAAATCCCAACTTCAACAACGACGTTTCCAAATCTCAACTGCCTCGCATGATCCAAAGCAAAGCGAGGAACGGATGCAAAGGCAGCAAGATTTGTTCTACTTACAAGCAGGGACCAGCAGCATAGGACCCAGCTGCACTTAGATCCCCGGGTGCGGTCATATAGCAGGTAGGTTTGCACAAGCACTGCGTCTTCGGGTCTTTGCGTCATCCTCGAGCCCGGCAGGCTCCACTCGGAAGAGCCCCCATGGTTTTTGAGGGAATACGCACACAGACACACACACACACACACACACACACACACACGCACACACACTTGGCTTGCGCTGTTTTGTTCTGCAAAGCATAGACGTTGACTACTGTGCCAGACTGCCCTAGGGTTGAATTGATTGAAAGTCGGAAGCCAATTCACAAAAGTCTCTTGCCTTCAGCGACCATGCAGATTTTCTAGATTCTGTCAGGGCTTGGGACAAACGCTCATGGACCATGGAGTTTATCTGCGTATCCATCATCTCACACGATTTCAATGTCCTGATGTTGTGAGCTTTTTTGGATGATTTGAGGATGGAGTGATGCGATCCTGGAGTTGCTTGCAGAGGTTGGTAAGACATGTTTGTCACACTGGATATGTAGGATCCAACAAAGAAACAAAGCATACCAACCAGCAACCACCAGGAGTTTACCTGTTGGTGATGAGATTGCTTGAGTGATAAAGCTGCTAGAAAGAACATCATCCAAAATCATTTTGTGGTGCCTGGTTGCGGTGCTTCTTCTGGGTGAGTGGAACCGCTCGGAGTAGGGAAAGGCGTAACTCTTGTGGGCGCAGAGATCAAAGGTAGCAGCACCTCTTCGACTCACGTTTACCAAGCGAGTTCCGCGCCAGTGACTCCTGGAGTACGGGATGTCATTGGAGTAGGGTGTGGTCCTTAAGTCCTTCTATAGTAGTCAAGACTTGAAAGTATTCTGATTTTTTATGCAGAGATGTGCTTCACGGGTGTCTAAAGCAGACGAATTTAACACAACCAACAACCAGTCTCTGAAGCAACAAGATATGATACTCAGGTTTCCAATATAAGGCAATGTGTTTTTTTTTTTCCGCAAGGGCACACGATTCTTCCCCAGGAGTTTCAAACACTGGACTTGCCTAATTCAGCCAAATCCCACAATTTTGAGGTCACTGGAGAGCCACGGTTTTTGGAAACCATAAACTGAAACAACATTGAGGACAAATTCAATCCATGACTCTCTCTCTCTCTCTCTTTTTTTCGGCCCGCCCACTGCCTTAGTGTTGAAGATACAACAATCCAGTTGGCACGTTTGGTGAGGTATGTGAAGTCATTGGGGTTCGGCGCCATAGACTTGGGGTAGATCTTGTAGGCGGTGCACCTGGAAGTAGTGTGTATTGAAATCCTTTTATGCAACACAAACGGACTGGGTTCTTTGGACATTGCTGGGTTCTTAGAACATGATTTTCTACTTCTCCAACCATCACAGAAGTTGATTGTAGCCGATGTGATAGTTGGCATATCTGTGAGGAAGGCAGTTGCTTTGGAAACACCTGTGCACTACCTCAGTTGCAACATGTCTAGCGCTTTCGCATGATCCTTTTCTGATTGGACCTTGTGGATTCCTGGGAGGCCCCGCATGGTTTTGCCTCCGCCCCACGTGTTGTATGATGCCGCACATGTCTCCGCCAGGTGGAGCGGGGCCCCAATACGGAGGATCCCCTTGAGGAGGCCGATGAGCTGGGTCTGAGGATACACGAGTAGAGCCGAGTCATGTGAAGTTCGACTCCGTTCAGTCCTTTTTTTTGGTTTGGTGTTCTTCACTGGTTGGTATGATCTTTTTCTGGAGTAGTTTGTGATGTCATTAATGTAGACTCTTGATTCATAAAATCATGCACATGAAGAGGCTTTACAATCCAAATGGTCATAAAGAGTCTACATTATGTGCGTTCTATTTTTCCTTCTTTGCTCTTCCTGCCAGGTGTGGCACTGGCTGGCTGCCTCTGAACGCCTCGCCCGGGCGCTCTCGTTCGTTGGGGGTCCTCAGATCAACAGTGTGACTTAGTTGGGGGTTGCCTTCGAACTTGAATGAAACAGCTAGGCCTCTAAAGAAATCAGCGATGTGCCATACCCTGAGAAAAGGAACGTGAAAAAGTACGATAACGCAACAATGTCCTTCAAGACATTTCTGGGACATTTTTGCTGCATAAAATTCATCGGCATGTCTTTCACATCGATCTCTTTCGGAGATCACATCTTCTGGTTACTCATTGCTATGGCAAATGTTAGACAAGCCTCGTGTTCGGCGAAGAGCCACTTGCTGAACCAGGCTGAGCACTTCTCAGTTGCTGGCTTGGCCTCCCGCAGGGTAGCCAAGTGTGGGTTTGTACATGGAGAGGGCAGTTTGTACATGGAAATAGTCAGGGTGGATGAGTGGAGATTGGATTGAACAGTTTATGCAGATTTTGAGTGAGGTTTGCACTGGACGAAAGATGAAAAGAGCTTTGAATGTAGATTTGTGGAGGTGGAAGAGTCTTGTAACTGGCTTCGGCAGTTTGAGATGTTTCTGTCTTGAGGCTGTGGGACATGAGTGCCGGGAATGGGCTCTTCTAAACTCTCAGATTCCACGTACCTGCAGATTTCAGGTGATGACGGTACCTGCGGAAAATTGAACGGCTCTGCAACATCTGAAAGCCAGGACAAGCGTGTATCATAGCTGAGGCCTGGACCGCGAGCCGGAGGCGGAAAGGCCGGGGATTCACCCAGATGTCAGATGGTGGAGGGTCGCAAACAACTTGGGAGAAGATTCACATGACGTTTCACAGGAGGTTTTTTTGGCTCAATGGGAACACAAGTCGAAGACGGAAGGCTGTTGAGACTGGCTTCCATGTTGGCTTTGTACCAAGCCAAGATATTCGAAGGGGGAGGAGTGTGGAGGAGCCTTCAGCTCTGAGACAGGTGCTGTGGCGGAAGGTACTGGCTTTTGTGAAAAAGCTTGGTGATCAGGTTTTCCACTTTGGAAGTTCACCCCACTGGCAATGGGAAGCTCGCAGTTGTAGTCTGAAGAGTCTTATTAATTTATAGACATATACAATGTGGAAAATCTTATAATGCTTCTCTTAGCTATATCTGGCAGGTGGGGATAGATCCTTCATCAAAAAAGGTGCAAATCACTTGCACCCCTGATCGATCTGCAGCCACTTTGGCTCTTCAGGGCCGGAGTGAGGTGTGGGCTGGAATGGCTGCCAAGGAAACGCGCGTGCCTGGGTATTAGAGCGAAGACTTGACTAGAGAATGAAATGGGTGAAAGCCCATCCAGTGGGCCTTGCGTTTGGATTTGCCCCATTATCATTTGGATCTGGGATTCTACGCCATCCAGTGGCCTTTTGAACATGTCCACCCCAAACTAACCGCTGTGGTTCGCTTGGGTGATCGGATTTGCAACACACCGCACAACACATATTCGCTTGAGGTTCTTCTGTTGGCGATTTGCCGAACTTGACGTTTTCATGTCCAGTTCGCTTCGAAAAAACAACTCCATCCCAGTCCTTTGGGTCGTTCGAGTTTCTGAGGGCTCCGCTCCAATAGCTTTGTTGGGTATATCTGGGTCAATTGGGTGAACACGTTGACCATGTAAATGTAAGGAGAGAGGCTTTCAGCGACTGCAGGATCTTTGTGGTTGTTTCCGAAGTGGGCCAGCAATTGAATATATATAGTGGCCATAGCCTATAGGAGTTGTTACGGATCCCAAGTCCAAATTTTGCCAAACCCTACAAGAAACACCACAGCCCTTCATTTTGACATCTTCATTAATCCCAATGATTCCCACAGCAGCTTCACTCCAGTTTCACACCAGCCAATCCTACCCCCACCCTTGGCCACCTCAATCCACAGCCGTTCCTAGTTCAGTGACCCGCTTGCAAACAGCAGTGATCCGGAGTGTGAGGCCTACAAAGCGGCGAGCGCTGGGCCGGTGAGGAACAAGGCGCAACGCAGCAACAAAAGCGACGAAAGCGACGAAGCGACCCGCCGCGTGCGGGGAGTTGTGAAAAACGCTGCGAGGCTCTTTGCGGCTCGCAACCAGACTTTCACGAACCCCCAAAAAGAAGACACCACGGGTGGGCGAGGTTCTTCGGCATAAAAAGGAATCTGTTTGGCCAACGTTGCTCCCATGCGGCCGAAGCTCCGCTCCACCGGGGGCTCCGGACTGTCTGGCCGAAGCTCCGTAGAGGTGGTGAAGTGGCTGGGACGGGTATCGATCCGCGCGTGGCATCCGATACCGGCCAATTCGATCCACCTTTCGACTTGGTTGGTAGCTTGTCTAATGAAGTATGTGTCCCTTCCAGCAAGCTAGTCATAGCGCCTGATTTGGCACGGTGAGGCTCCAGAGGATGTGCGCCCAAGCGATTTTAGCTCCTTCAAGCAGAGCACGTGTGCTTGGTCCGAGAAAGTGTTAGGCGCTTTTTGACATCCAAGAAGCATCAGATGTTGGTGAAAAAACATCTACGAACATCTACGAACACCTTGTCAACGATGTCAAAGGGGATTTGGGGGAGTTGGGTCAAATCTCCATGTTGGACTTTGGTTACGAGACTGGACTTGTTGGGCGGAGAAAAAGCCTGCTACTTGAAGACTGAGCATGAGGAGTGGGTCAAGTGCTTCCTGTCCTACTCGTTCTTAGTGGATGATCATTGGAATTGATCCATAGAGATCTGGCTGCTTTTGGGAAGTAACTTTGGGTAAGCACGGCAGCTGCACCCCAGAAGCCCAAAAAGAGCATCACCCTGATGGGTGTCTTCCTACTGAGTTTACAGTTGCGTTGGTGTCCAAGAGTGAGTGGGACATGCACTACTCATGACTCCAAGCAGTAGTTCATGACTCCAGACACCCTGTGTAGCCGTTGCCGGCAGTTCCAAGTTGGGTAATCTCTGGTGTATATATATATTGTTAAATTGTTTTTTTACTGTTGGTTTTGCAATATATAACTATCCAGAATTTAGGTATATTAAGGTCTTGTTCACAGTCCATACGGCCCTGTCAATGCATGGCACGCACACATGTGCACCAACTGAAATAGATGCTGTAGCGGTGCTGAAAGCAGCGTCCAGGTCGAGATGACCTTTTGCGGCTCATTGTGGCGCGTTGCTTGGGTGCAGCATCTTGTAATTTTCATAGAGAAAGTCATTTTGTAGAGCTCTTATCCTACTGACTCATCCAGGCCACCTTTATCGTAGCAGGTGAACATGCCAATGCGTTTTTCATTTTTGACTCCAAACCTGAAGACCTTGTGTGACCCCAGTGTCGTTCCACAACGGCTCAGAAAAAGATGACGAAGTCGGCACACTGTGCTGGGTCTCTCTCCCTCACACTCTCTCTCGCTCTCTTCAAATGTTGGGTTTTACCGCAACACTGAGGCTTTATGACCTCCGACTCTTGGCAGGTGAGCATGGCTCAGTCCCCGAAGAAAGGCACTGAGCCTCCCTAAAAGCAAGGCCTAGCATAACAATCACATAACATAGGGAGGCCTTCTAGTACTCCAAGTCAATACAGGTGCGGGTGAGATGCCTCAAACTCGAATCTTCACCCTGGAATTTGTTTCAAGCAAGGGCCATAGCTATCTCAAACGGATTGTGCATTCTGAATTCTAAGAACCTCCAGACAACTTGAAAGCTCTGAGATCGCAAGGCAGGCAAAAAGGTCCTAGTCTTCCTCATAATATCAGTGGGCAACCAGTGCAAGCATGTGACTTTTTCTAAGCATTTGGGATCATGTTCCTGCTAAGGACGGACAGGACTGTCAAGATGACTATACCTTGCCCATCGAGAAGAATCAGTGGAGAAAATCCTTAGACTCGATCCTGAGGCCAGCGGAAGTGACATGTGACTTCTTTTTTTGTTGTTGGCATGATCACATCCCGAATCCTGTCGGGCATAAAACACCAGAGGAGGGAATTAAACAGCCAGATGGTTTCCTGATTAAGCTTCAAGACCAAGACAAGAGCCCTCATCCTGGTAGGTGAGGTTTGTGAGGAGAATCTGCAGTTATTTCGATCGGTGGTTTATTACATTATTGAACAACTCAGTTCACTTTGATTCTGAACATCCTTGTTCTGTTGTGCTTGGGTTCGATGGGGACCTCATGCGGACCCAGAAAGTAGGAGTATATAGATTTACGAAAGACCCCGGAAACCTTGCAAGTTCGGGATGTTTTTTGATTGTTTTTTGATTCGGGTCCTTGTTTTGGGAGTGATCAACAAGCGCACGTGGGTCAAAGCCCAGAGTCACAGGCAGAATCTTCGTGACCTTGATTTCAACCAATTTAACACATCAAGAGTTCATCCACGCTGATCCTCAGCAACATGATCGATGGTTGCACAAACAGGAAATGTAGTGCTTCTGCACACAACAGATTGACAGACGCAAACCGTATGACAGGTCAAAACAGGGGGACCTGGCTCCAGGTTTTGACCCACAGCCACATGTTACTCGGTGTTTCTGTTCGTTACTTGGTGCGACTCAAGCAGCGCAAGAATCACTAGCTCAAAGCAGTTCAAGCAGGAGGTGGTATCACTTTATCGCGTCCCCAGCAAGCGTGGAACATATGTATATATTTATATATAACTATATATACACGCATATTTACCCATATAGGGCGCGCGTGCTTTTCGCCCCTCCCCTGTAAAGCATAAGAGACAATAGACATTTATGTATTATTAGGTAGAGCCCATGTAAATTGTAAATTGTGTTTAGGCTAACTTTCAGCCTCCCAAAGCCAACTATATACAATGAGTACCTTTGACATGGATATGTTTAGATCAATTTTCTGTGTAAAGACACCATGGCAATTGAATAACCAGAAGTGTTTTCACAAAAGGCATTTGGCAATTATAGAGGTGTCTTCCATGAAGATATTTTTGTAGCATCTGGCAAATAATATTCACGAGGAATAAGGATATTATAAAGGTAGAAGTTTACTAGGAATATATAAAACACATTCTTAAAACGGACGCATCTGAAGAAAAACGTTTAAACAAAAGACACTTTGGGGAAAGGGTTGGGTGTTTTCAGTTCCCAGATTGGTGTTTTCCCTTCCCGTGGTGTTTCCTTTTCCCAGATTGTTTTTTTCGGTTCCCGTGGTGTTTCTGGTTCCCAGGTCTTGGTGTTTCCAGTTCCTGGATTGGTGTTTTTCCTTCCCGCCTTCTGTATTGTTTTTTTTTGGTTCCCACTCTTGGTGTCTTCCCTTCCCGGAGTTCTCCCCCCCAGGTCTGTGTGTTTTCAGTTCCTGGATTGCTGTTTTCCTTGCCCAGCTTTTGTGTTGGTGTTTTTGGTTCCCAGGTTTGGGTGTTTTCAGTCCTGGACAATGTGTTCCCTGCCCGGCTCCTGTGTTGGTGTGCCCTTTCACGTGTTTGTTTGTCAGCTTTCGTTTGAATTTCTGGCTACCATTGCCCACCGCTGGATTTGAAAGCACGTACTCGTGTCACACAAGTAAACAGACAAAGAACACCGCAAACCGTCAAAGCCATTCGCTGTAAAAACATGTCAGTTTGCGTAAACCCACTGCCGCAAAAACACAAGGTACCCGGTGACACCATCATAACCGCGCACTGTACGAACACATAGACGAAAGCATACAGAGCTTCATTTTTG